AAAAAAAAAGTTTAATGAAATTTAATTATATATTATGTTGCTTAACGCAAATGAAAGAAAAAAACAAAATCAAAACAACACTGTATGCAATATTTCGCTAAAAACTATGTTAATTAAATTTTCATAAGGCAAAAAAAAAAAAAAATTTTTTTTTAATTACCTTCTGGAAATTGATTTTGATAATTTGTTATATGTAAGTGATTGTAAATTTTTAATTAATAAAAATATTTAATTTTGCAACAACGGCAAACAAAAAGCACTAAAAAACTGTTTCTTTCTTTTTAAAGATACTCTTGCACTTATTTTTATTAATTTTTCTTAAGTGATTCAACAACTTGCCATCACATCCTATATAGACATATGCCTGTGTATGTGTACGTAAATATAAGCATATATAGATTTATACTCGCTATATAGTAAGATTTAAAGTTAAAAAAAAACTTAATATATATCTTTTAAATTTTCTTTTGGTGGAGATGAAAAAGTTTCAAGTGTGCTACGTCATAAAAGTTGTGTCGGTTCAGAAGAGAGAAAATGAGAAACAAAATACAAAATAAAAAAAACAAAAAAAAAAAAAGAAAAGAGAAAAAATGTAACATCTACAACAACAAACAACAACATTAACGTAGAACAAGATGTTTTTTGCATAGAAACGCAGCTAAATGCATAAAATTCCATTACCAAGTCTTTCGTCAAAAAACCAGCCGAAGAAGAACTTAAGAGCACGCTTACACTCAACCATAGCCACATAGAAACACACGTTAACAACAAGTACTTGAGAAGATTACACAAAAAGAAAGAAAAGGAAAAAAATGCAGATATACATGAGAGCATGTGTATGACGTTTGTTTCTGTGGCAGCGTGTGTTTGTGGCTTTGGTATCACTTACATACTTTGTTGTTGTTTTCCCTTTTTTTTTATATTTATTTATTTTTTATTTTTTTTTATTTTTTTTTTTTTTATAAAAACTCTAGTGCACTCTTTAAATTTTTTTTTTTTTAGTTGATATTTTTGTGTTTTCACACATTTAAGAAATGTATACATATATATATATATATATATATATATATATGTTTTCGTTCAATTCATACCTTTTTCGTTAGTTGGGAAGTATCTTAAAAGAAGAAAACTACTTTTAGCGTTTGTATTGCCATAGCGTAGAGCATCTTAAGCTTTTTTACACATTTTTTTAAGTTTAACAAACAGTTTTTTTTGACTTCTTTTCGTTATCAAAATAATAACATCATATGTATGGTGAGATTGATTTATAAGATACTTAAATAGTTACAAGACCGGGAGAAAAGTATCAAAAGATTCGACAAAGATCTTAAAATATTTTATAAATAATATTTTTAAGTATGAAAATACTTCAATAATATTTTTCTCTCCTGCATTAAGAATCTCAAAGTTGTATGAAACTGCAGAGGCATTACGTATGAAACTAGTCTTGAAATTTATGTGAAAGTGGTACTGCAAGCACATATCATCAATTCAAAAACTCTCTAACAAAACACACAATTACAAACACATGTAAGAAATGTAAACATACAGGCGCTTAAAGACTTTTTTCATTAATAATAATAAATAGCAAGCACTTGACTTGGATTCCAGATACTACCAAACAATGTGAATTTCGAAAAGGTGATATATTTGATATTTTTTAGATTAGATAGATAAATACATGTTTGCCTCTCTTAAGATTAGAATTTGTTCGATTTTCTTCTCCTTCACAAAATCTCTTTACTTCTATTAAGAATAAGTATATATATCAGTAGATTATGCATTGAGAGGAGTAATTGGAATAATTGCTGTTTAAAAGATGTGTCTATAAGTTAGGATTAATTTGGGGGGAAATTTTTCGTTATATTTCTTAGCAGGTACTTTTGCTTAAGGACTACTTCGTCGATATCCCTATACGCAAAACTTATTTGTTTATCACAGTTGGCCGTTGGTTTCGTCTCCCTCACGCTGTGGGCTGGGTTTGGCGAAGTGTGTTGGGCTAAAATATGTTCTCTTTCTCGGTCCTTCATTGGAGAATTTTTTCGTGATGCAATATTTATCATTCTCAGATATTCGATTTTTGTGAATACGCGAAATCGTGAAAATTATTCGAATAGCTTTGTGTCACAGCGCAAATCCTTTCCGTAGTTTTTGAACCGTTGATATTACGCAGACAAGCCGCGTATTTTTACACTTCAATTTATTCTTTCCCCATTACCTATAACTTCCCATTTTGACATTGAGCACACCAACCACATCGTTCCATATCATAAGGTATTGCCCTTCGCAGACCTCGAGATCTTGACTTTGCAGACGCTGATTTTCTTCGCGCTATGTTCTCTCCTCTTGACTGCTGTGAAGCGTTTATCATTACGGTGCATGTTTTTAACGTTCGTTTTTTTATTGAAATTATTGCCTCAAAAAGATAGGCTTGAATTATTCAACATCTTACTGTGATTATTGAAGTATGTCTATGGTGGTTTTCTCAATAACTTCTGGAGCGAAGTAAGGAAAAATATTTTATTCTTTTACTTCAACGCTTTTTGTTTTCGACGTTTTTATAGGACGATTTGCCACGACTCTTAAAATACGCTTCTTTTTCCTTAACGAGACCTTTTGAGATTTGCACACAAATGATTGCTGTGGTACGGCAGATTTCGAGGATATGGTAGTGAGGATGTAACCTCAATTCATGCGATTTGGTCATCTGTAAGCATCTTCTTGTAATACATGCCGATTTTTCTACTATGGGCAAACACGGTAAATGTTTGAAAAACGTCTTCCCCTTGGCCAAATTTTCGTGCAAGTTAGCTTTAATTAACTATATTTAAGATAGTTTAGCTACTTCATGCAAATTTTACTTTCGATTACGGAGATTCAAAGATTTTTTTAGGTGTTCTGGTGCAAACATGTTACTATTCAGGACCAGTCCATAGTGTTCAACATTGTCGTTGACCATACGGTCACGTTTAAGATCAGCAAGCCGCCGAGAAGAGTTGATCTTGAGGGTTGTTACTGCTAAAATATGATGTGGTTCTGTTTTTTTTTTGTTAGAGACAACATCTCTAAGCCAATTTTGGAAATTGTTCATTAGCGTGTTGTTAGGCAAATCTTCAGGCCTTCATACAAATGTAAATTAGCTGCATACTTTCAAGTCTATAAGTGAAATGAATATACGGTTCATATTGAAAATAGACAAGAGACAAAGTAGTCGAATATCCCTCAATTAGCCTTTCTACGTTCTTTGGAGCCTTTCTCTTTTATTTTTATGTCCATCATCAATTTTTTCATTTTCTTTTCGGTTCGCAGAAATCCGCATCGAAAATCTGAATATTTGTAGTCAATTTTTCTTGCAATTTCCGTGATAGAAATCTTAAAATCGAGTGTTTAGTTTTAAAATGACAATTTTCTCAATGATGGCTTCGAAATTGTAAACGTAAATAAAAGTGAACATTTAGAAAAAAGTAATAAAAAATATAAACAAGTAGGAAAATGGCAGAAAATGGAAAATGGTCGGTTGTGACCGAATCTTTTATACGCATCGCCGATATTCTAAAAATTATTAGAAAAAAGGAAAAAAACAAATTTTTATATTCTATAATAATATTGGATGGGCGCGGTTGATTTTTTCCTTTTTCAGAATAAGATTAACAAGCAAAAAACACAGAAAGCGAAGATGTTTGCAGTTTTTGTGCATAGGTTTGCGTGCATTGTAGGCTTGCCCTCTGACCGATCATCTTCAAATTCTTTTGCGGGCTGGCCGGTGATATCTTCATTTTTGTGAAGGGGGAAATGTTTGCAGAAAACACGGACGGACATGCTTGCATCGATTCACAATTTGGTACTGTTTAAGAATAAGGCCTCTCAAGTCTCTTTCTAGGCGTTGCAAACGTTTTGACGAAATGAATATACCCGCCAGTGATTTTTGTCGAGTTAAACTTAACATCTTACAACATATCAATTTTATCGTACGCAACGTGTGAAAATTTACGAAATCATTCACACTCAGCTCATGACCATGGCCTAGAGTTTGCTTTTAGCTTATATACAAGCTGTGGAACAATTGTCATTTCATTTAACTCATTTGGGTGAAAATATTTAAGCAAAAGCCAACTGTGTGATTTAAATTTGTTGAGGTTGTGAAATCGAATATTCGAATCGAATAATCCACATGTTAAAAACATGTACGTCCGTCCATCTGCCATGTAGTAAGTTTTCTTTGAAAACTGAGTGAATATTCCTTAAATTCTTCCTCTTGCTGTTGCATGGCCAAAAAATTTTATTTCAATAAGTAATGCAAGCAAGCATGTAATGGGTACTCAAAAATTTCATTTAAATTTTATTAAGCCGGCATTGCTTGCTTGCTGTTTTGTTTCATCTTTGAAGTTATGCTGAGAAACTTGATGCAGCGTATATTAAACGTTTAAAATTGCACAGTTAATCATTTAATAAGGTACGGGGTACGCAGTTGAATATTTGCAGATTGTAGAAATTTTTTACATAACATTGTGTTTTATTTGTAGATAATGATAGGCTATCGTTTTTTAGAGGGTTTTAAGGAAAAACAAAACAAACAAAAAATCGTTAATTTAAAATGCGCCTCGGTCTTAGTTTAAACCAAGGATTCCTTCGCTTTGCACTGATAATTCCTCTGGGAGCTTCGGCTGAATTATTGCACTACTCACCTTGAATATTTTAGTAATCCGCCATGAAACAAGTTTTGTCTATACCATAACTGTAAATCATTTTCCAAACTGTCTTCTTAAGAAATATGCGAATTAAATTTGGCGCCTTGTAAAGGACATACAATCGCAAATTACGATAAATTTTTTATTCAACTAATTGCTATTTTCTGTACATGACAAGAAACGATATACGTTAACTAACAGCGCGCCTATCCCAAAGCAAATTAAAAGCGAGAGAGAGAAAATCGGAGCAACTATGAAATTCGAATTTAAGGATTTACGGTATACTGTATATATATATATCTGCACAAACAGATCTTGATCTGTTTCCATTAACATATCAGCGTTTGTATTATTACGTTCATATCTTCTTGGGACTTAAATATCTTCAATATTTTCTTCATCACTTTCAGTCATTACCTCTGAGAATGCTGTTTCAAGATTGCGTCTAATATCAGCGAAAGGGAAAACGGTACCGATAACTTCGTAAATAACTAAAGCGAACTGTACTTCGTTATCCCTCATAGAAACACGATATGAAATACGCAGACATGTGGGCCTTTCGTCATAGCCAAGTGTTTGCAAAGTGTCTGCAGTTAACAAGCTCATACGCACAATGCCTTCTACCTCCACATATCGGAGCGGTGTATACAAAGAAGTCAATGTTGTCCGTTTCTTTTCATCATTTAACGAGTCGTTCAAACTGCGAAAACTGCCTTTAGCACAAGAGACCAGATTGCTAGCATCTGGCACGGTTGCCAAGCGTGGAACATAGCGATAACGTTCGGTTTCAAGTAGTTTGTGTAGAGGTTTAGTTTGTAGACTTTCAGCTCGGTATTGTTCTGGGGTTTTCAAAAGATTCGTTTCCCTTTTCGTCAAAGTAGGCGAGCAGTTAAGGCAACTGGATGCGTAAGATTTCATCGATAGAATATCAGGCGCAGGTGCAGCGTTAATGGATTTTACAAATTTCTCCGATTTATTGCTAATGAATTTTGTGAGCATGTGAGTGGTCCTACGCTCAATGGGAGCACAGGATACCGGTTGCAAAAATCCAACATGTTCACAGTGACGGCTAACCTCATGCCTTAAATAATTGTGGATTTTATTGACACCTCTTATGGTCCGTCCGTACCAATCGATGATACTGTTAGGAGCGAAATAATATTTGAAGTCGCATCTGCCCTGCCCAAACAATGCCAGATATTTTTCCACTACTTCAGATGGTTCAATAGTTTCCATTTTCGTCTTTCTAAGGTTATAATTGCAATTTTAACGACTATAGACAAATGACACAATTTTTCATTGAAAACTACAAACGCAATTAAACGAATGTCATCGTTAAACAAGACAAAGTGAAAAACACCGTAGACAGGGTGATATATGTGTTTTTTGAATAAGCTTTCATTTTTCAATGGTAACGTGATGATAATTGCAAAATATTTACAAAACAAGTTTCGACAGAAACTTTCATTTTTTACCCGTCACCCGTAGATGAGGAGTACATGTCCATTTTGTTAAAAGAACTCCATAAAGTATATATATTTTCATGATCAGTATTAAATTCTAATCCGATTTCCGTATATCCGTCTGTCTGTCTGGCTGGCTGTATATCTGCGGTAAACATTGTCTTGGCCTTAAGAAGGAAAGTGTACCTGTTTAAAAATTTTCAAAAAGATCGTAAGTTGGTATTGAAATTGGGCCATATCGATTAAAGAATACGCTCACAATACAACGCAACCTGAGACCAACTATGTTTTTAAAAATAAAAAAAAAATTAATTTTTTGCTCGTTGCTTACAATTTACCACACACAAAATGACAAAATTTACGTTTATATTCGATGGGTGGTCGTGCAACACGCGAACAAACATTGAAAATATCGGCCATGTCTACTCAATGTTGTATAATGTCGAAATTTTGTTCTTTTGCGAGAAAGAAACTTCATAGACCCTACATAGTCTACACCCCTAAATAGTCTATTGCTACTATTATTGCTTAATATCAAATGTGAATCGTACCAGACACGTGTGTCAGTTCGTCTATTCATCTGTCTGTTAATTGCTGTGGTGAACGTACTCATGACCGCAAAACTGCAGATATCAGCTTACACTCAGAATTCCCTAAATAAAATGCTTTACAGTTGAAAAATATATCAATGAATAGGAACGCGTTGTCGCTTGAAAGGGCTTTTACATTTGCCTACCCATTAGTCGCAGAAAATGTTTATACCAGTCCTTACATCAATATCCCCTGTTCATTCTCGGTCACAAAATTAAAATTTATTT